GGTTACCATTTGCATGATTATCTATTTTTCCATCTTTTCATTTTCAGCCAATGTATCAAGTGAGTCTCTTGCAGCTAGAATATAGTTGGATCTTGTTTTCTGATCTATTTTGCTACTCTACATCTTTTGAATGGGGTGTTTAATTCATGTTCACCTAAAGTAATTACTGATAGAGAAGGACTTACTATTGCCATTTTGTTGCTTTCCATATACCTTGTAGTTATTCTGTTCATGATTTTCTCTTATTCCCTTGAGTTTCATTGATTTTTTCATAGTGACATGCTTTGATTTCCTTCTCATTTTCCATTGTGCATCTCCTACAGGTATTTTCTTGTTGTTACCATGGGCATTACATTAAACATCTTAGAGTTATAACAACCTAACAAGACAACTTCAATCACATACTAAAACACTACTCATTTACATTTCCCTCCCCAGTTTATGTTATCAATATCACAAATTACATCCTTCTCTATTTTGTATTTATCAACACTGTTTAACATTTTTTATGCTTTTAAGTTCTATATCAGAATTAAAAAGTGAGTTATGTACACTCAGCCCTCTATATCTATGGGTTCTGTATCCATGGATTCAACTAAATCATAGATCAAAAATATAGTATTTGCAGGATGTAGAACCTAAAGATTGACTGTTTATATCTGTAAGTTCCATACAGTTTACTGTGGGACTGGAGCATCTATAGATTTTGATGTGTGGGAAGTCCTGGAACCAATCCTCTGTGGATACCAAGGGACAACTGTACTATACAACACAGTATTATAAGATTTTGTGTTTGTCTATATGTGTACATTTATCAGAAGCCTTTATATTTTTGTATGCTTCCACATTGCTAATATTCCTTCATTTCAACTTGAAGGACTCCCTTTAGCAATTCTTGTAAGGCAGGTCTAGTGATGAACTCCTTCAGCTTTTGTTATCTGGGAATGTCTTTACTTCTTCATTTTTGAAGGATGATGCAGCCCAGATGCAGTATTCTTGGTTGGAAGGGTTTTTTGTTTTGTTTTGTTTCCTCCTTGGCTCTTTGAATGTATCATCCCACTCCCTTCTCACCTGTAATATTTCTTCTGAGAAATGCACTGATAATATTATGGAACCTTCCTTATACATGATACGTCACTTTTTTCTTGTTGCTTTCAAGATTATGTCTTTAACTTCCAACATTTCGATTTTTGTGTATGTTGGTGCGGGCCTCTTTGGGTTCATTCTTTGGAGTCCTTTGAGCTTCTTAAATTAGGATATCCAATTCCTTCCTAATATTTGGGAAGTTTTCACCATTATTTCTTCAAGTAAGTTCTCTGCCCCTTTCTCTCTTATTCTAGGACTCCCATAATGTGTATATTGTTCCTTTTGATGTTGTTCCACAAGCGTCTTAGGCTTTCTTGACTTTCCTTCATTCTTTTTTCTGTTTCTCTGACTTAATAATTTCACATGATTTGTGTTTAAGTTTTCTCTTTCTTCTGTTTGATCAAGTCTACTGCTGAACCTTTCTAGTAAGTTTTTCAATTCACTTATTGAGTATCTTTAGCTCCAGAATATCTGTTCGGTTCTTTTTTAGTTTCTATCTCTTTGTTGATAGTCTCATTTTGTTCATGTATTGTTTTCCTGATTTAATTTAGTTGTTCATCTGTGTTCTCTTGTAGTGCCTTGAGACCCCTTAAGACAATTATTTCAAATTCTTTGTCAGGTAATGCATAGATCTCTGTTTCTTTAGGGTCTGTTTCTGTAGGTTTATTTTGATCCTTTGATTATGCCACATTTCCCTGGTTTACTTTGTGTCTTGTTATTTTTGTCGTATTCTGTACATTTAAAGAAACATTCGCTTCTCTCAGTCTTTATCGACTGACATGGTACAAGGGAAGACTTTCACCAATGGACCCGGCTGGAGATTCTGGAGGTCCTGGAGGTCCGTCAACCCTTTTCCAGGGATGTATCTTCTCTGGGCTCACGCATGTGATTTCCAAATTAGAGGGCTTCACTGGATTTTCGAGAGCTCCTACTCTCTTGCTCCCCCTAGTGTCCGTCTGTGGTATTGCAGATTCTCCGGTGCTGTAACAAGCTGCGGCGCTCTGGTTCCAAAGGATGCCATTTCTCTGTCAGTGCTGTGAGTCAGGACAGACAGACGCCAGTCCCTCCAGTAGGCCCCTGAAAAGCCAGAACACTGGATGTATATATTCCATTCTTCTCCTCCCCTCCCAAAGAACAAGTCGCGAGCTAGGCGTTTTCCCCAATTCTGTTGAGCTGTGCCCGCCTCCATCCACAGCGCTGCCAGCTCTCTGGTGCTACCACAAACCACCAAGCTTGCTTTTGTTCTCCACGGCCCCAAGACATCAAAAGTAGTCTTCCTTTATCCGCAGTTTTACTTTGTGTAGTTTGAGCTAGCCATGGTCACCCGTGGTCCAAAAATATTAAATGAAAAAATTCCAGAAATAATTCAAAGGTTTTAAATTGTGCACCGTTTTGTTTTTTTTGAGATGGCACCTCATTCTGTTGCCCAGGCTGGAGTGCAGTGATGCAATCTCAGCTCACTGCAACCTCCACCTCCCAGGTTCATGTGATTCTCCTGCCTCAGCCTCCCGAGTAGCTGGGACTACAAGCATAAGCCACCACGCCCGGCTAATTTGTATTTTTAGTAGAGACGGGGTTTTGTCATGTTGGCCAGGCTGGTCTTGAACTCCTGCAATCAGGTAATCCACCTGCTTCGGCCTCCCAAAGTGCTGGGATTAAAGGCATGTGCCACGGCACCCGGCCTAAATTGTGTACTGTTCTGAGTAGCATGATGAAATTTCATGGTGTCCCACTCTGTCCCACCTGGAACATGAATCATCCCTTTACCCAGGGTATCCATGATATATACACTACCTGCTCATTAGTCACTTAGTAGCCTTACTGGTGGTCAGATCAACTGTCACAGCATCACTGTGCTTGTCTTCAAGTAACCTTTATTTTATTACTACTTAATAATGACCTCAAAGTCCAACAGCACTGGGGCTGGCAATTTGCATATGCCACAGAGAAGTTGTAAAGTGCTTTTTTTAAGTGAAAAGGTGAAAGTTTTCAACTTAATAAGGAAAGACATATGCTGAGGTTGCTGAGATCTATAGTAAAAACACATCATCTATCTGTGAAATAGTAAAGAAGGAAAAAAATTTGTGTTAGTTTTGTCATTGCATCTCACATGGCAAAAATTACAGCCATCATATATGGTAAGTGTTTAGTTAAGATGGAAAAGACATTAAAGTTGTGAGTGGAATACAGAAATGTGTTATGATTGATGGCAATCAGGTTTGGTACTATCCACAGTTTCAGACATCCACTGGGTGTCTTGAAACATATCCCCTATAGATAAAGAGGGATTACTGTATGCAATTTCCTCGTCAGTGCTCCCAGTCAGTAGAGACAGAAATCTGTTCCTCAGTCTGCTCCCTAAAAAGTGAGAATGTTGGATGCACATTCCACTCTTCTTTTTCCCGCCCAAGGGAGAGAAGCCACAAGCTGGGTTTTTCCTACCAATCTCACCAAGCTGTGCCAGACTTGGAAAAGGGCTATCACAGTTGAAACGAAACAGATTTTTAAATCAATTTCAATGTGGCTATTCTACACTTTGAGCTTGCCTGCAGCACTGTGACTTCTTAATTGGTTCTGTAGTTCTCATTGAAATTTTTTGGGATGTATGTTGTAGTTAAGTCAATGTCTCTATTGGGAAATAAGGTCTAGGACTTCCTATTCTGCCATCTTGCTGATGTCATTCCTGAAGAACTCCTTTAATATTAGTAATTCAGTTTTCACTTTTGGTAATGACCTGCTTAGATTCCTTGCTCATTTCTATACTGGAGTGTCTGCCTCTTTATGATTGATTTTTCCAAGTCATTTCTATATTTTGCATTCTGATCCTTTGTTTCTATTTGTTAACAGATTTTAAAAATTATTTTTATTGTGAGCTGCTTTTTAAAAAATCAACTGTGATGCATATTTTGGGAGTTTGGTGTAGGGAGTACATATACATTGCACTGACTGATTTTTAAAGTCCTTTTAAATAAATTTATAATTACATAATTCAAAAGATCCATCAGTCAACATTCACCTCACAACTAAATCCAAGTCTACCTGACATGTAAATAAATAAATCTAAACACTCTCCATATCTCCTATAGTTCTTTTTACATTGCCAAATCCAACATAATGAAGATTTTCTCCAATGTTTTCCTATAATAATTATATATTTAAGGGTTAGGTGCAAAAGATTCCTAAAGGTTGAGGACAAAGACAATTTCTGATAGGACTTGAATTAGCAATAGCTTTACGGGAAAAAAAAAAAAATCAAGTCCCTCAGTCCCAGATTCTCTCGGTTAATGATACGTCAAAAATGAAATGCCCGCTAATGAAAACTGAAATTCTTTCACAGACTGAAGAAACATTTGTAATGTGATTAATTGCCTTTTAATTTGTCTGAATCTCTTTGATTTGTTTAGTCTAGATTTTGGAATATCATGTTTCTTAAAATAGGGCATATGTTCACATCAAATGTTGCCTTGTAAATATCCTGACTCTGTGAGAGAGTGTGTGTGCGCGCGCACGTGCGCGTGTGCTGGGAGAAGGCAGAGCCAGGGCAGGCTAGTGTGACAGCACACACTTGCATCTGTGCACATTCTCCTCTTGCAGAGTGAGCAATCCCAGGGTAAAATTAAGAACTGCTCTTTCTTTTGTGCTCCCTACTGTAAATGTAGGGCTTTTTACCTAATGGGCCCACAAAAGACATTGTAGGATTTACTCACTGCTCTGTGAGAGTTGAGAAAATTGTGATTTTTAAAAGAGTTTGAAAAAACTCACCAATTTGCTATGTATTCCACTAAAATAATCTTTCTATATAACATACAACCATAACTGAACATCCATTTCCTATGAATTATAAAATTCTCCTCTCATAACCAAACTGATACATTTTGAAACCTGAGAAGAAGGATGTTTAGTTTAACACCTACCGCCTTTGAGTGTTAAATCCATTAAGATGATTCTCTCTGAGTTCAGACGCTAATGATAAAACCATCTGTAAAACAAAATCAGTTGCAGGTTAACTCAGGCTGCAAACAGGATTACATCAGTTCTATTCTTCTTGGTGTGAGTGATATTTCCGTTGAGATTCCCCCAACCCCCATCTTCTCATGTTTTACTCTGTCAGAGTGAAAAGGAAGCAGTGCCATGTCACATTTACTAATAACTGGGATTTTATGTTTAATGTCTGTAATTCTGCGTTTCTATGTAAGTAATGAACAACAGACAGGTCACTAATTTCCTAAGAATTAAAACAAAATCCATTTAAAGAAAAATTAGTTTGTTTCTTCATTTAAAATTTTCATTTGGAAAAAAAAAAAAAGTTTTTCTTGTATAAAGCTTCCAAAACACCAGAATGGTTGGCAAACATTAAAAATCTCGTAACATTTTTTAAAAGAGTTACATCAAGATTATAAGTTAAAATTTCTTACATTTGGCTACAATGTAAGCCAGAAGAAAACAAAGCTTTAATATTAAGAGGTAAATATGTAAAACTATGTATTGAATTTTCTGTTTTGCAAAAAAGTCCAATCAGGTTATTTGAAATATAAGATTCGTCCAACAGCACAAGACTGTGTTTATAATAGCTAAGAAAAGTTCCTCTCCCAAACATCTCTGAGTGAATATGCGAGATGTGTTCCTAGAAAGAGAGGCTGATTGGTTGGTTTGGTAAAACCCTTCCTGATTTCCTTCTTTCTCATAACTTCCCATCTCACGTTTCTTCCTTACGTGGCCATACGACTGCCCAAGGTAAGAAGAGATAAACGAAGAAAAGTTAAACGTCTCTTCTGGAAGACTGAAATATTTCCATTTACTCTTTTCGCTGATGGCACATTCAGCATTAAACATTCCAGAAGTGATAAATTTTAAATACTCACATTTTTAAGCAGACCGGGATAGTAATCTATAGGGGCATATCCAAGACCCTGAGTGAAAAGAGCAACTTCTTTATCAAATCTGAGTGCTGAAAGTATATGAGATAATACACCCTAAAAAACATAAACAGAAAAAGTCAACTTCTTTAAAAGTGAATACAAGTGCCTTTTAGGTACAATACCTACAATTTATTTGCAAATGGGACTGGTCTCTATGAAACAAAAAAATCTGTCAAAGTACCCAATTTACTTTGATTCAAAGCGTAAAAGAGAAATGTTAGCATTAAAGTTAATACATTAAAAAGAAGTCAAGTTAAACATTGACAGTGAAAACGAAAATATATATAATGAATGAGCAGTGCTTTACTTATATTAAGAAAGGAATCTTTATTGCTTTTAAACTCAGTAAAATATGTTTAGCAGCAATGATAAGATCATTTCTTTTTTTTTTGTTTTTTGAGGTCAGCTGGGCAATGTGCCGATGTCACACAAGGTTCAAGGGTGGCACATCTCACACATGCACGTGAAACACCCAATCGTGATCATGCTCACAAACTACAAAAGGATCCAGATAATAGAATTTAACATAAGATAGAGAACATATCACAAATCAGTAGGGAAAGGGCAGATTATGTAATAAATGGTGCCTCAAAAACTATTTGTAAAAAGAAAAAAAGATTCTCACCGGGTATTATTAATCAAAATACACTCCAGTTTAATGTAAAGTAAAGAGATAAATGTAAAAATGAAATAATACACAAGAAAAAAATAAGAACATTTTTCAGGTGTCTGAATGAGAAAGAACTCTGAGAAATGAAAATCCTGGGAGAAAATCATCAGGGAAGAGGTTTGGCTGTGCTCAATAAAAATAAAATCTTGTGTTTACCAGAAAAATAGTATGAGCACAAACTAAGAAGAATGTTAACAACAAACGGCACAGATTCTATGTATGTTATCAAATTAATGTACAAAATAAATGACAAACACTAAGAGCATAACAATGCATATGAATAGATAGTTCACAAGAGAAAACACAAATGGCTAAGAAACACATAAACGAATGTTCGTCCTCCGTAATCAAGAGTAAGACACCCGTATGGCACTTTCACTTAAGGAGTTCAAGTTTTTACAGACGTGAATAGCTAATGCTGTACGGGGTTCTACGAAACAGGTTTTCTGTGTGAGCTCCTGGAGGGATGGAAATAGGGTCTCCCACACAGAGTGCAGTTGTGAATGGCACCGAGGGGCCCATGAAGTGTCAGCAGATGCAACGCAGCCCAGAACCCATCACGAGGCCTGGACTTCCAGGGGTGTGTCAGGCTAGAGGTTTGGCGCCCGAACAAAGACAGATTACGGGTTAATAGAGGCCCTGCCTTATAGAAAGCAACTTGAAAAAAATATATTAAATGTCTTCAAAATATTCAGAACCTTTGATATATGTGGCATACATTTAAGGAAATAAATGCAAGTATGATGACAGGAACTATGCTCAAAGATGTTTACTGCAGTGGTTATTTCTCATATAGTAAAAATTATCTAACAGCAGGGAATGATTAATATCCTTATGCAGTGGCTCACTGTAAGCCACTAACATGTTTATAAAGGGGCCAGGCATGGTGGCTCACACCTGTAATCACAGCACTTTGGAAGGTCGAGGCAGGCAGATCACTCGAGCCCAGGAGTTCGAGACCAGACTGGGCAATACAGAGAAACCTGACCTCTACAAAAAAATACAAAAAATTAGCTGGGCATGGTGGTGCACACCTGTGGTCCCCGCTACTCAGGAGGCTGAGGCAGGAGGATCGCCTGAGGCAGGAGGACCGCCTGAGCCCCAGAAATTGAGGCTCTGCCCTACAGGCTGGGAGTTGGAGTGAGACCCTGTCTCCAACGAAAAGAAGTTTATGAATAATTTTAATAGTATTTAAAATGGTTATACTATTAAATGAAGAAAGATGTAAAATGTTATACTCAGAATATAAAAATAACCCATACATAAGAATGGAAAAACAATGGAAGAAAATACCACTGTCTGAGTCCGTCTGTGTTGCTAGAGCAAAATACCTCGGACGGGGTCACTGACAAGAGCAGAACTTTATGTCTCAGTTCTGGAGGCTGGAAGTCCAGGACCAAGGAGCTGGCAGGCTCAGTGTCTGGTGAAGGCTTCCAAGGTGATGCCCTGTTGCTGTGCCCTCTAAAGGGACGGACACTATGAATGCTGTGTCTTCACATGGTGAAAGGGACACAAGGGCAAAAGGGCCCAGGGCAGTCTCTCCACCTCTTATAAAATCACCAATCCCATTCGTGAGAGCTTTGCCCTCATGACTTAATCACCCCCCAAAGCCCCTCGTAATATTATCACATTGGTGATCACGTTTTAACACATGGATTTTAGGGAATATATTTAGATCACAGCTATCACCAAATGTTAGCAGTTTCTAGGGTGGTGCTAGAGACCCATAATAGTGCCACCCTAGATACTGTTAACATTTATATTATTTCATATATATGTGTGTGTGTATGTGTGTATATATATATATTTTTTTTTTTCTTCTTTCTACTTTAGTATGTTTCCTTGCCTCCCATACATGTATGTGCCTCTTTTAATACCAGGAAAAAAATATTTTTTGAAAAAGTTTTATTTGGAAATACTCGGTTTTTTAAAAAAGTCCTATACTGCATTTTGTGGTAACACATTATGAGATAAAATGAATTTGCATCTGTGCATATAAATGTATGTATGTAACTTCATACACAAATACTTGGAGATGACAGTCTAATCTGAGGTGGAGGCTGAGGGTGCCTCAGTGATGGGCAGGTAGGCTCCATGGACCCGACAAGCACGTGGCACATACCAGTGACACTCTGGGTGGTTACCACTATCATGGTGGTCATTTCCATTTCATCATAAAATATCTCACACATCCAAAAAGACACAAAATATTATGTCAAATTCCACAAACCTTCAAGCTTCATCAGTAAAGCATTAGAAATAAGAAGCCTTCTATGCCCTCTGCCCTTCCTCACCATGATTCAACAGCAGTCTCTACCCCTGGGGGAAACTCTACCCTGAATCTGGGATGCAGCCTTTTGTGAGGATCATGTACTTTCTCCCTGTGAGCTCAGACCTGCCTCCGTATCCTTAAAAGAGAATCCAGGCAACACTCCTAAGTCATGTTAAGTGGAAACCTGCCATTCCTACATTATATCCTATCTACAGTTTTCAAATTAGAATTGCAAGTTAACAAAGTAGCTTTAAAACATTACTTCTCAGTAGACGACATTCACGATTAATAAAAACAACAACAAAACCCCCCAGCAGTGTGTACTACATGATTTACAAAAAAATGAATCCCCTGGAAAGGGGGAAAAACAGGAACCTTACAGGGTTAGAGTGAACATTTTCTAAGGTAGAGAGAAGGATGGAGCCACTTGCTTGTTACTGTTTTTCCCTCTTTCAGTTCAAATCTGCCCCAAATACAGAAAGCAAACAGAAGCTGACCATAGCCCCAAGGGAGTTCGCCTCCATGTTGGTGGTGGTGGTCTTTTTCAACACCAAGGGCAACCTGGGAGAGAGAGGGAGGGAGCGGCTGTGGCTGGGCAGGCAGAGTCAGGGAGCCCAGGTACAAGCCAGCGTGCCATCTGTGGAGGGCGATGGTGCTTCCCACCAGCCGCGCTTACTGCTGGACTCCACTGAACTTCTGAAGGGAGAAGGTGGGGCCTGCACAGCAGGGAGAGTGCTTGGTGCTCTTGGCAAGCCAGTGTGGGGCCTGAACCCCCAGCGGGGTGCAGGGCAGGTGTTCTGGGAAAAGGGAAAGCCCGGCCAGGCCTGGCCAGCCATATGTCCAATCCACACGGAGGTGTCTGAGTCAGACCCAGGCAGAGCAGGAGGATTTGGTTTGGAAACCAGGCAGTCTCCAAGTCGGCAGCAGTCTGGGTTTTCACGGAGCAGGTCAGTCTGATGCTAGGTGAGGGGAGGGCAGTGTCCGAAGAACGCAGCCGTCTACTCAGAAACCAGACTTCTGCATTCTATTTAACACATTTAAAGCACTTACTACACGCCACGGGCTGTTCAAAGCAGATTACAAGTAGCAATTCATTGAATCCTCACAGCCTATGGGTAGGTAGTTACTGAATCTGGGTTAAAGAGGAGGAAATCAAGACAGTTGAAGCAGCCTGCCCAAGGTTAGTTATTTACTCTACGGCCAGACCTTATAATGAACCTCCCTACATCCACTGTCCATGAGACTGTTGGGATAGTTTTTAGCAATGCAAATCTGAATGCTCTCAGTCTGAGACCCTTTCGGCTTCCAGTTACTCTAACTGTGAAGCCCAAATTTCTCAAAGTGAAGCAGCCTGGCCCACCAGCGCACCCCACACCCGGCTTCACTGCTCCTTACTAGCCTGTCTGCGACCCTGGAGGGCCACAGGCTTTCTGGGCCATCAGGACTTTAGTATGTCCGATTCCCTCTGCCTGGGGAGCTCTCCTATGCCCCTCACTTGTGAGAAGTGACTTCTTGAAGGAATTCTAGCAACTGTGACAACTAAAATTTACCAAGTGCTTACAATGTGTGAGGCACTATGTTCTCTAAGTATAGCATCTCACTGAAAACCCCAGGTTCAGTTTTTAATCAAATTCAATTAAGCAAAGTTTCAATTAAGCCACCCATAAACAGATGGCTACTGTTACTATACAATCCACCCTCAAACAATCAGAGTGTAAGGCACTACAGACCCAGTTGGGATGGAAAGTAAGGTAGTATGCAATTGAAGGAAGCCAGTTTTGAGCAGTAACAGCTAAGGGTCAGTTAAGATTGTAGAGTTAAACAAAGCCATGCCCAGGCTTCCGCCTAACCGACAGCCTCCCAGAAGCACTCACACCCTGGGCCTGGGACCAGCTCACGGAAGGTGACTTCCCAATACTGCATGAGCTCTGTCTTGACATTTGATTTCAGAGGCTGAGATGAGAGATCGTAAATAATTCCTAAGTAATGTTTAAAATAGCCACAAAGAGTTCCCTAGATACTACAGTCATGTATCACTTAACAACTGGGGTACATCCTGAGAAATGCGTCGTTAGGCAGTTTCTTGGCATGCGAACATCACAGAGTATACTTACATGAACCCAGACGGCTCAGCCTGCTGCACACCTAGGCTACACGGGAGAGCCTATTGCTCCTGGCCTACAAACCTGTGCAGCATGGGACTGTACAGAATACTGTAACACTGTGATCTAGACCTATCTAAATGTAGAAAAGGTGCAGTAAAACTATGGTATAACATGGAAAAAATGGTACACCTGTATAGGACACTTCCCATGAATGGAGCTTGCGGGACTGGAAGTTGCTCTGGGTGAGTCAGCGGAGCGTGAATGTGAAGGCCGAAGACGTGACTGTAGACTTTACAGCACTGTACACTTAGGCTACACTAAATTCATAAAAACACATGTTTCTTTCTTCAGCAATAAACTCTTCTTAGCTTACCACAACTTTCGAATTTGATAAACCTTTTATTTTTGTTGAACTTTTGCACTATTAAAATCAACACTTAGCCTAAAACACACTGCACAG